ATAGGAAAAAAACATAGCAGGGGAATCAGCAGATAACAGGGAGCTAATGCTTCCCCTGTTATCTGATGGGGTTTTTTTTCTTTGTATTCAGACAGCAGCCGCAAGAAAAATAAGAATCAACAGGGAATTGGCCGATATCAAGGTGGGAGATGGGCTAGGATTTGTCAGGGCATTTTTTTTTTTAAAGGGGGTCCCTCCTAACATTTATAACGTTTGGGAGGAGGACCACAGGCTGTGTTTATTTATTTGTTTACATATTGCGGAGAGAACAGTCTGCTTCAGCAGACTGTTCTCCCCGCTTCGGCTGTGTTTTAAACTCAGTCGAGCGGAAGCATATGCCTTTGGCTCGACTGAGCCGCTCGGCCAACTTCAGGAGCTGTACCGGTTATAGTGAATAGCCCGTACAGCAGCCCTTCGGTTCAACTGAACCGAAGGGGTCTTGGGCCGAAGCTAGCCGAAGGATCAGCCGAAGCTATGGCTAGATCCTTCGGCAGCTTTGTGAATAACCCTCTAAATAAATATTATTACATTAATATAGCATGCAAATTTCAAATACACAATATACAGTACCTTAACATTTGTGTTCAAATGGTTGAATAAAACAACTTCCAAAATTAATATTTCACCTCTAATTACTGAATAAGGGAGGTTCAACGTGACAGACAAATTCTGATATAGTTGGAGCTGTGTGAAAAAAAGGTAAAACAATAGTTTTAACAAACCAAATTTTTCTTTAAAATGATATAAGCAAAATCACTTTTTTTCAGAAATTTTCACTTAAAAATATAATGAAAGACAGTTTATGGAAAATATATACAGGCAATATTGTTGGATATGAACAATTCCAACTGTTTCACGTGCCTAGCTGAGTGGCTAAGCCATCCATTTGTATTGTATGTCAACATATTTTTGTGTACAACTGACTATAAATAATATCTAATTTTTGCAAAACAAAGGGAAAAAAGGGAATTTATTTAAAGGCAGATGGATTTTGCCCACAAATGGAAGAGGCCTCACTCAGTTAGGGGGCCTGTGTAAGTCATTGCTGCTGGGGCAGCATTTGAATAGCGTCCAGACCAGAGCGCTTATGTAAACCATTGTGGCTGAGGGAGTGTTTGAGGACACTCTGGGAGTGTGGATCCAGTCTTTGCCTAAACAGACAGGGAGACCTGAATCAGACCATGATCGTGAATGATAGTGAATGAGAGACCTGTGTTGGGAGGCAGAGGCAGTTTGTGGGCGAAAAGATCAGTTGGATCAACCATAGCATCTTCTAATAACATTAATAATCACTCCAACCCTGTGAGCACAGGTGAAAAATAAACCCTCATAATATTATTTTTAACCTTAACTGAGAAAAACAAACTGGACAGGCCAATGAAAGCATACTAAGCAGAACCTTCATCCCACCTGGCTGCTAGACCGCCCCCCCCCCTCCCCCAGCCCCTTCTCCCCTGGGCTTCAGCAGTCTAAGGACCCAAGGCATCATCATGTCCAATGCAAGGTCCATTCACCTGCATTAGACATGAGGATGCCGAGGACTATGCCACAGTCGGAACGGAGGGGGACTGCTGCAGGACCAAGGTTTTGGAGTTTTGCTTTAATATTTAAACCTTTGTTTTTATTAATTTTATGTTAAATTTGTATATAACTTTGTAATGCTTTGTACCAGAATCATAATTTTAGTGTCATTTTAAAGTGGGCAAATATTACAATACAATGTATATTTTTTGTCTACAGTGACACTATTTTATTAAACTAACAATAATCCAAGTAGAACAAAAATTTGTTTTTTTAGTTTTGTTATTTTATTTGTCTATGGATTGCAAAAAAATTAAATCACAACCTTTATCACGGATTGTTCCTAAAAATAAGGCTTACAGGTGTTGCTAGTATAGCTAATACATACACTATGCAAATTTCTGTTGGTTCCTTATGAACCGACCGAAATTTGCACAGTGGGTGCCACCTTTTCGGCCAGCATCCCTCTATCAGCTGATTGAGGAAGTCAGTTGCAAAATCTTCGAACAAACCGAGCCAGCAACCAATTAGCTCTGTTGGCCCCTGTCAGAATACAATGAAGACAGCAGAAGGTTCTTCGATCAACGCTCGTAAGCATTGATGCAGGAATCTTTTATATTTTCTTCGTACAGCCCACAAGTTGAACGAAGAAAATATTACAGTGTATGGTCAGCTTTAGTGTAGGTAATTCAGGGCCTTGTGGATTGTGCAGTAGGGAGCTTATAGAACGACAACGTTTATTACAGGTGTACAATTTGATCTTTAGCCCACATTTTTTTGTGTGTTGATCAAAATAAATGTTCAATTTAAAACAGAAGACAAAATAATTATTTACACTTCATTAACAAAGATGTGGTATAGTTAATTAACCTCAAAATTAAGTGTGTTAGGTTCACAGATAACCCTATTCTATAATATAAAATAATTGTACATTCTATAATATTTCTACAGTCCATATCACCTCAGCTGGTTTATCTGTAAATCCCAATCCAAGCGTGTCAGAAACAATAAATGCACTGGCCAACCATGATGTCATTGTTTCAGGAACAGTAAGTGGCAATGTGAAAGTACTTTCTGAGCTGTAGAATAAACATAATACATTTTAGAAAAAACGTATCTGTTTTATTTTAAAGTATTTATTATTTATTAGCACAAGTTATAGTTTGGGTTATGCAAGTAATTTTTCTACATTACAGTACAGTATTATTATAATAACTTTCTCAATCCAGTATTGACAATAGATGCATAGGGTGGGATTTGGTAACGTCATCACGCTACTAATAAAGCGATATCAATTGCTTCTGAGAATTATTCCTCAGTAAAGTAACTTTAAATGTTCTCCCCCTGCCAACAGCTTTATAACAGCTGCCTCAAGCAGCAAAAGACCATATAGTACATTTTCCATTTTTGGACACACCTCTACATACTACTCACTCTTTCTTCAAACTTCTGGACCCCTCAACTTCAGTCAGTCTATTTCCAGACTTTGTTCACTGTTCTTTCAAATTTTGGTTAGCTTTCAGTGGTCCTCCTCATTCATAGTGCAAACTGTAGTTATTTGACAGTTGTTCTGCTGACAAGTTTCTCTTAATCCTCCTTTGATTTTTGAACACTTGTCAGTCATTCTGTTGTCATTTTATTCTCAGTTGTCCCCTTTCGTCTCACTTATCCTTCAAACCTTTGCATTTCTGCTCTGCAATTATCAACCTAATTCAACATCCGCATTCAGGTCAGCTAACATCCTCTTCTCCTCAGCTCTTCTAGACACAGTCCTCCCTTCCCACTTTTCATCTTCAGTATTAATCCTCGGCTGTCATACTCAGTAGTCAGCCTCACTCCTTATCCTTATTCTCATTTGTCATTCTCAATCAGACTCTGTTGTATTTGCCACTCATCTGCCTCATTCATCATCCTTAGTCTTGATGCTCCCCTATAAGCTTCACATGTCATCATTACACATTGACCTCATCTGTTCTCCTCAATGATTAGCCTCATTAGTGAATCTCACTTATAATTTGAATTCAGCAGAAGTAATGATCATCTTCAATCACCAGCTAAAATCAGCCTCCCACTCTTCTGTCTATTTCTGTCTTTCACCTCTAGTCTTCCTGCTCATCTGTAAGTCTCACATGTCATCCTTACACAGTAGCCTCAGTAATCAACAACTTAACAGTCATTCAATCCACACATACTTCTTACCTGTTCTTTTTATACATTTTGATCACTCCTACTTTGCAGTCATCCTTATCACACTTCTTTCACACAGTTACTGTGAACAAATAATGCTAAATAGTCTTTGTCATTCCTGCTTCTAATTTTTCCTCCTCCAATGTCTTCTCGCTGCTGCTCTTCCTAAGTCCTTCTCATTTCTGTTCCTCACACATTCCTCAAATAACAACTGCTCATTAATACTTATCAATCCTGCTTTTCATTCCTCCTCCAATATTGATTATTGTTAAAGACTAATTTCAAAGTACACTGGGGAAGAGCACTGGCAGCCACATCCTTCTCTGCAATCTCTCCAGGGTATGTGTCCCAAGGTAAAGCTCCTGAACAAATCTCACTACTGAGTGCTGGATAGCAAAGAATCAGTGGCGGAGAGGTAGGTGCAATGTACACACATCTCTTACCTTTCTCCAACATATGGTACACGCAGTTCACTCGGCTCATAGAAGCTGTAATCAACATATCCTATGAAAATCCTATCCTATTGGTTTATTTAATTTGAGCATGCATAGGTTCACACACAGGTTCACCAGGCTAGGTAGACAATATATGTCTTTAGTAAATCTGGTCCATCTACTATAAGAAAAAGAAGTTGTTCACTTAGCAAAGTATATGTTCACGGAGTTTAGTAAACAAGAGGAACATGTGTTCACTTTTAATACCCAATCAAATGTGAGGGATATTTAAAAACCAAGCTTTTTGTTAGCCCATAATTGTTTGATTGAAGTAAACTTCATCGTATTTACTAAGCTCATTGAACATTTAGTTTGCAAAATAAAGAGTCTCTATTGCTTTAGTAAAGCAACCCCACTGCCCCACCACAATACACTTTATTATGAAGGTAGGTATATACCTGATGTTTGCTTCTAGCCATATCCAGGTTTCAGTAAATAGTGTCCCATGATTTGGAATTGCTGGTAGTGCTGGTTGTATGCTTGAAGCTGTTGGCTGAAAGCCTGAAAAAATAAATGATAAAATATACTATAGGCCTATTGGTTTGCTGTCTCCTATCTCCATGGATAACCAAAATCCAGATAGCATGACGGTTGCAGTGGGGTGCTACAAGCAGTGTATATAAAAGGACAAGAAATGGTGTCATAAAATTATCAAAATATTTCATGTACATCCCATTGTAAAAACAATCAATATACCAGTTTTAGTTTACTGAGGAGGAAGAAGAACTGTACTGGACAAAGTAGTTTTATTACTTGCACTTTGCTAAAGTCGAATTCTACCCATAGCTTTTATTTGTTTTGGATAGAGTAAGGAAAGTTTTTGTCTTTGTCCTGATTGGAGAGAATTAAAGTCTCTCCCTGCCCCAGTTGATACCTGTCATTGGGACAGGAGAAATCTCCACAAGGGTTTAGCGCAAAAAAAACAACAACCATAACCCCCCTATCCAACTAAAACTAAACAGTTTGGGCTAAACTTCTAATTACTATTTTGACTGCTTTCCTCTAAGTGTATTATTACTTGAATGTTGCAGTTCTGACCAGAGTGACATTAACATTACATTTGCTTTATATTAAAATCAAGCAAACTTACCTTCATTTGAATGATAGTATGTGCTTATCATCGCATCAGACATAGTATTGTATTCACAAGGCTAAAGGTAGAAAGGTAAAATTGTTAGTTTTTTTTTTGTTTAAGATATACAGAGATCCATGCTTGTTTCTCGAACAATGCAATTCATGCATCATATAACACTTTTTGGTAAATGGCAGACCAGAAAATTTAATTAGTAATATTAAGTGTGCATGCGTATCAATCAATCAGAATTTGCTTTTACAAATGTTTGCCATTTATAAACTACAGATAGGTGAAATCTGATCAATTGGTTTAAGTTACTGGACATCACAGCTCTTTGCACAACAATATTAAAGATAATCTATCCATACAATAATGTGTTAATCAGGAATATTGCCCTCATGGTAGACACTGCAATTCCATCTTAATATCTAACCTACTCTTAAATTTCAAAATGTGATTCTCCTTTTCAGACCTACAAACGTAGTGGGCACTATTGACCTAATTTATTAAAGTGTGAAAATAGCTGAAGTGCATTTATGTAACCAATAATTATTTCAAATATTCAGCCATGGGAACAAGAAGCTCTATTTTTCAAATTTCCCTAACACATGACTGGAAATTCATGTTTAATTCATACTTTAGAAAATTAGGCCCTATAGGTATGATTTACTTAGAGAATAAGTGCATTTTAAAACAACTATTATCCTTTTCTCCAACTTCTGTGGAAACCCATGGAAATCTTTGGGTTTCTACTGTGCAGAAAACTGAAGACTTGCAGCATGGGATATAAACAAACACTGGAAGCCATGGCTGTTGAATAGAGGAAAGTATGCTCTTGGGAAGGTGGAGGTGGGCTAGAATAGGTCAACAAAGGGGACAAAAAGGATTTGATATGAAAAAACATACATTATGTTCCAACATACATCAAGGGAAACTCAGATTGCTGGATCTCCAATAAGTAACAAGCAAGATTTATTGCATATTTAGCTGGTTACAGTGGCATCATGACAAGGGCACCATTCATATTGATCTACATCTCAAGTCCCTCAGTGTAGGATACTAAGATTATGTAAATTATGCAGTCACTCAGATTCTGATTAAAATCGTATCATTACAGAGAGAAGTGGTACACAGAAGATCATCGCTAAGGAGTGCCAGCTAAGTTATGGAGTCACCATAAAAAAACAAAGAGTGTGCTTATGTGATAATTCCAACCTCAATAGTGTCTCTAGTATTACTAATAGCAAGAGAAGTAGGTAACACCTCTCATATCATCACCATTGCTTGAGCATTGGAATGTAAGTATTTACACGTTATATTCAATCACATGAAGAAGAAGCTCTTTTTTAACCTCTCTGGTCATGATTGGATGTTTGAAGTGAACATACATTCACTTCACCTCGTTATACATTTTTGTAATTTTGGCCCAAGTTCATTTCGCTTCACATTTTAGTGATTTGGGTCCTTAAATGTTGACTTCCAACCTATGTTGAGAGCTTTGTCATGTTCCCTCTCCCATTTTCACAATTCAAAGTGCTTGCCTCTCTGCTTTCTATGACAATAGAAAGACACATACGGTACTTTAAATGGCTGAACTTAGTAAAATGTTACAGCTCACACCTTTGACTTAAGTTCAAAAATTATTAATAGAGCACAATCAGGTTACTTGGTCTCTGAACCATGCAGAGGCACTAATATAGTGTAATACAAATACATGCCACCTCTTGGGACAATAACACCAATTAATGCATTTATTGTTGTGATACCTTCAGTTTCAGAAAGGCTACAGTTACTGTATTTTTTGGACATTGGTCTAATGGATATCATCTAAGTAATGTTGTTCCTTTTAGTGTCATGGATATGAAAACATAATATGATTATGATTAGATTAGTTTTATTTTTGGTGTGCCCCAAACATCTCCCAACTAAAAACAAACTTGCTTAATTTTAATTAGGAAGTGATTGGAAATCAAATACCTGAAATGTTTTGCGGTTATGCTAAAATTCCTGCATGTGTATATTAAATGTGTAAATAAACAGTTGCTTATATTATTCTGACTCTGATTGTTGTGATAGCGATTTATCCCTTGTTGAGACCTCTAATCCTGGCCTGTTTAAGCAGATACAATCACTGCGGACAATCCTTGTCAGATAGCTGAACTCACCAATACCGTGTTCGTCCACAAAGGTTGCTTTATTCTGTACGTGCAGACAACAGGATAACAGCGATGAATGGTTACAGTATTGTGCGGTCAAAAAATGATGCCTTTCCTAGCGTACTATGCAGAGTACATGTCTCCTGATTACAAGTGGCTGTTAGCTGTTGCCATGACACAGGAAAACTGACAACAAAAATGAAGGGTGGGGCTTACATACAGAGCAACTGTCATACAGAAAAACAGGTGCAATATCACAAAGGCCACTAGATGGCAGCATAGGAACTAGACATATAAAAACGTCCATAGGAAAAGGTATAGGGAAAACAATCTATATAAACCTTCTATCTAAATAAACTTCTATGCCCCATTGGGGCGGCACACTCCCCGTCTGGCATGATAATGCCACTATATACACCAAATCGGTAGTTATGCAAATAAACAACAGTGCAATTTGTGCTGTCTTGAAGATCTGAAAGACATAAAGAAACATGCATCTAATGCAATAACAACTATTAAAGTCCATGAACTTGTAGCTTGTCCTCTGGACCTAAAATAAAGAAGGAACATATATCCACAAGTTCAAATATAAAATAAAGTCTGATGACTATCAGCATAGTAGACTTGATCACTGGAACAGTCTTTCAAGTGCAGTAAGTCACTCCATGAGAGGCAACTTGTAAAGTTCTTTGGTTGTGGAAATAAGATAGCCTTGGCACATTGAAGGCACTTTGGATAAGTCCATCCCTGGATGTGCATGGTGCACGTAGGTACCTGAAGAATACGGGCATTCACGTAATTCCAGCTACAAAGTCTCCACGTGAAACAGGCACAGTTCCGATCTTCTGGGTGAGAAGAGTAGCTGAGGTAAAGATGGCTGAAAGCTTTGAAACTGTAATCACATCACTCTTGATGATCGGATTCAGCTTGGCAGCAGGAATGTTTTTAGGAATGTCCTGCTTGTCACGGACACATTTTATCTCTGTGCTAGAGATATTCTGTTCTGCATTGTGTAGTAGACTCAGCTGGTTTTGAGCAATGTCTTTTGCAGAAAGAGGGTTTTGGCATATGTGCCAGTCCTTACAGCAAGTATCATTGGGCTTAGTGTGTTGGCAGTGTGTAGCATGGACTAACCTTGCAGTAGTGCGGTCAGGACTTGTCCACTTGGAGAAACGTCCATAGCGTTGACAGCCCAAGACGAGTCCTTGTTCAGTTCTGGTTACAAGGGTTTTGCATTCAGGATGAATCTCTGGATCTTTGACAGGATCTAGAAGACTGAAGTCATCAGTTGTAGCTTCTTCTGGATGATCCAGCAGGAATTCAGGACCTGTTGACCAAGAATAATTTGCAAAGACACTGGCAGACACTGGCCTGGTGGCATGATCTGCAGCATTGATTTCTGATTGAACGTAATGGCATTGTTCAGGCTTGGAAGCTAACTTAGCTTTGCCAAACAGAAACCCTATGTGGGTTTTATTAGAAGAGTCTCTCACCTTGAGGTAGGCAACAGCTGCTATGGCCTCAGTAGATGCATCTGAAAAGATGTGAAGCTCTTTCCTCTGACTGGTAGCAAGGGAAGCTGAAGTGTAGCAGCTTGACATTTGAATTTCAAGTAAAGTATGTAGAGATTGCTGTCTCTGTAAGGATTTACCTTGTATGGTGATGGGAACCACAATTCCCAGTGGATTGTATAGGCCGCTCATCACTGACTGAACGCCACGTTTGGCAAATGGCTTGTCTGCAGAGCTGATTTGAAAGCCGAAGGTGTCTTTTGATAAGGTCCACCGTAGGCCCAGACTTTTCTGTACAGGTGGCATGTCCATTCCCAGATTTAAGTCTTTAAACCCTGTGGCCTGATCGCCAGGTTGAAAGGCTTTCTTAACAACAACATTGTTTGAGACAGTCCTATGGTGTCTGAGGTTGGTCTCTGAAAGCAGACCTTGAGTCTTTGGTAGCAGGTCTATTGCTTTGTCATGAAGAGGAGAATCATCTTGCACGATGACTGGTGTTGAAGACTCTGATGAGTTTCCCGAGAGGTTCACTGCTTGTGAAGTTACTGGAGTGATGCTTGAAGAATCAGGTGCGTTGTCCTTGGTGTTTGCATCAGTGGTTTCCTGCTCGTCCGAGCTGTTGAAGGAAATCTGGTGTGTAGTCTTACCAGAACTATTGCAGTGTGGTGTTGTGATGTTGCCTTGGTTTACCTGTACAATGATCTTATTGAAGCATACGTCACCTGAGGCATGAGGTTCGCAATGTCGTTTGACTCCAATAAGTACCCAACCTAGATCAGTCTTTTGGGCATAAGGATCATCATTCCAGCCATTGTGCTGCTGACGTACCTTATGTACTCTCAGGATGTCTCTGCCTAAGAGAAGCATAATTCTGGCATCATTGTCCAGTGGTGGGATGCAGTCAGTTAAATGTTTTAGGTGAGGTTCCCGAAGTGCATCCTCTGGTGTAGGAATCTCCTCCCTGTCATTAGGCAACTGATTGCACTCAATGATCTGAGGAAGATCAATTCTCTCCATTCCTTTAATATGAGAAATGACAAACTCAGCATAGGTGGTCCTTCCTGTGAGTTGAACTGTACCAGCACAGGTGTGCAATGTGTAGGATAGCATGTTACCCTTTATGCCGAATAAGTCAAAGAACTCTGAAGTGGCAAGTGAGTGACTGCTTTGGTCATCTAAGACTGCATACATCTTGATTGCCTTTTCAGGTTGTCTTTGGCGAAACACCTTGACAATAATTCAGCTGGTTGATCATTAAAGTGTGACAAAACTGACATGCATTGTGAAGTTCTGTCCCAGAGGTCTGACAGATTGCTGGAGAACTCATCTCTAGTGTATTCATAGTTTTCTCTGAGTTTCTGTGTCGGTTTTATTGTACG